TTTCAAAAGTTGATAAGGATTTGAAAAAAATTGCATTTGGGGATGAGGGTTTATAAAGAGGGGGTGGGGGGGTTGTAATTGATAACATATGTGGAAATTGAGAACAGTTTTTGACTGGTAAAAAAAGTGTGTTTATTTTGTATTTGTGTTTGTAATAAGATATTATTATGTAGGTTAATTATAGCAAAAGGATTGTATAAATCCTATTTGCTGACCTTTTCTTCAATGTGTAAACAATAGGGCCACCACTACTCTACCACACGGTGCATGTGTGGTCATCTCCACACTCAAGTGTAATAATAATAGAAGATATATACAGTTTTAAATCGAAACATTTAGGGCTTGATTGTTTATGAAATAATTTGTTCAATTTGAGTTATTTTGGTTAAGTATAATTAATTTTATAAAAGATAGTATGGTTAGTTGTAGTGGAATTTTAAGAATATATTAAAATAATATTTAAAATAAAATAATTAAAATTGATTTGATGTAAAGTAAGAGATAAATGATTAGAAATGATAGGTAGTTAAAAATATGTGAGTGGATGAATAGTGAATTAAAGTTGATGTGATGTGTAAGAATAATTGGTTTGTATTATTTATTTATATAAATAATATTAAAGATAGTGGGATTGAGTTAAAATTGAGTTAGATTTTGAGTTGAAATAAAAGTGAGTAAATTATTTGATAAACAATCACTCCCTTATAGTTGTTCATAATTTTAAATTTATCCCACTTTTTCTATTATTTTGTAAGACCTCGTTTATTTTAATGGATAGGATGGGATAAGGAGCTTAACCTTGTCTTATGTTTACTAACCATTATTTGCAGTGGCAAATTTACATATATTGATAAGGGGGGCAATTGCCCCCCCTCACATTTTCATTTTTTTTACTATTAATATTACAAAACGTCGCTTACAAATGTCTAACTTGTCTACAATTGTCAATTGACAATTCAACACTTCTTTTATTTTACTATTAATTTTGTATATTGATTATTATCCATCTACAATTTTAATTGACCCATATAAAAGACTTCAACTCTGTTTTATTGGCCAGGCTAGCCTGGTATTTTTTGGCCAAAAATGAACCGAACTGAACAAATGAGAAAATAAATCGAACTGAACCGACTTATGTGTAAAGGTAACTGATAATCGGTTACCAAAATGTTATCAGTTTGGTATTGGTTCTGAACCCATTATATCAAGTCTTTTGCCCTCTCTCAATTAATTTTCTGGCTTTGCCCCTGATTATTCGAGACAAGGATTCGTCCCATATTGTGGCACAAGTGTATCCTCAATGGCCGGTTATGGAATATTTTTATCCCAGTTTCAAAAGGCGTGATTGTATATGATTTCTACAGTAAATATTCTACTTAAAACTTAAATTTAACTCAATTTTAACTCAACTCCACTATCTTCAATATTATCAATATAATTAAATAATATCAACCAATCATTATTACACAACACATCAATTTTAATTCACTATTCATCCACTCACATAATTTTAACTAACTATCACTTCCAATCATTTTCCCCTACCTTTACATCAAATCAACTTTAATTATTTTAATTTAAATATTATTTTAATATATCCACTAACAACTAACCATGCTATTTTTTTTTTAAAACTTAACTATAGTTAAAAAATTTCTAGTTAAATTCATATCCAATCACCCCCTAATTGAACAAATTGTCCAAATTCTTCTCTATTATTTGACCACTAGTACAATACCCGTGTATTACACGGGTGCTTGTTAAAAAATTATTCTTAAATTTTAAAATTAATGAGAAAATTATATTAAATTTAGTTTACTTTTTTACAAATATATATATATATATATATATATATTACTATATGTTTTAGAATGATATGTGTTACTTATGACTTACATGTGTTATATTATATTAGTTTTTATAACTTATATCATATAACTACTTGAAATATAAATATATTAGTTGATAAATAATTTTATTTTTCTAATTAATATTAAAAATAATTTTATTATTGTTATAAAGATAAATATAAATTATTTTTTTTATACTTACAATATGGATGTTAAATCGAAGCTTATCAAAAGAAAATTAATTTGATATATTACATATGTAAAACTGATAAAAAATACAAAAGTTATTAACTTTTATAATATATATACAATTCAATAGTTATAATAAGGAATGATATTAAAATACAATTAATATATGTAACATGACCATAAATAATCAACATATTTATGGTAATCCGAACCTAATTATTATTAGTTTGGAATTAAATTAAAATTTACTCAAGCCTAATAACGAAGCATGCAATTTTGCCACATAGGATTCCGAAGCACCAGAAGCAGTCACGTAGGCTCAGCGCATTCTGTATTAATATATAGGGGGGATTATACCTTACATGTCCCAAAAATTACAGATTTAGAAAATATATAAGACAATTTCTCCCATGCCGAGTTCATCGTCCCAACCCTAGGTCTCTCGTCTTCTCCTCCGCGCGACTGGTAAACTTCGATTTTCCTTTTTTTTTTCTTTTTTTTTTCTGTCGTTCTCTTGTTCGAATATTAACACTGATTCACTACCCTATTGTTCAAATCGTTACTGGTAAACTTCCTCGTTTTTTTTTTTTCTTTTTCAGTTTATTGCTCGCATGTATCATGTTTACAAACCATAATACATTTTATCTCACTAAGGTAATGGGATAAAATTGTCTTATCCCATCAAGCTAAGTAAACAAGGTTATCTCACTTTTTCCCATGGAACAATTCTTTTTGAAAACGGCCTTATATTAAATGATTAAAGTTGATGAAGTATAGATTCTAAAATCTTATATCCAAAACAAGTTAAAGAGCTTAAATCCAATTGAAAAAAAAAAAAAAAAAAAAATTACCTTGTTTGAAAAAAAGATGTACAATGAAAAAAAAATATTAAATAAAAGAAATAGATTTGAGATTGATAGTGTAATAATTAAAATTGATGTTACGTGGAATTAATAAATATTTATTAATAAAATTGATTATAAATATATGAGTAAATGACTAATTTGTGTATTAAAAGATAGTGAGAGGAAATGAATAATATTTTGTTAAATATTTGTTATCTCAATTTTTATTCTAATAATATACTGGAGAAAAAAAAGTTTTATGATTATGGCTTATTTCTACTAATTGAGAAATGCTATAGGTACATAGTATTGTACATAAGAGTGTACGTAACATTCACATTGAGTAAGACCTACCAAAAATAAAAAATCAAGTGGACTTCACTCCATGTGAGTGTTATGTACACTTTTATATACATTTATTATATATTTGTAGCATTTTCCATTCTACTTTTTCGAAATAAAAATTTCCATGTATACTTGTATTTTTAAGGTGTGATTGAATATGAATTTTTTATTATTTTTGTTGTAAACTTTAGTTTAATTTTGAAAAATGTGTTATGTTAGTTGTTAGTTAAAATTTAAGGTTAATATAAAATAGTTAAAGTTGATTTGACGTAAAAGTAGGATAAAACTGATTGAAAGTGACAGCTAGTTAAAATTATGTGACTGAATGAATAATTAATTAAAGTTGATGTGATGTGTAATAATAATTGGTTTAAATTATTTAATTATATTGATAATATTGATGATAGTGAAGTTAGATTAAATTTAATTGAAATTTGAGTTGGCTTTTTATTGGTTAGGTTTATATCCAATTACACCCTTATAGCATGATTGGTATATTAGAATAAAATCTGATAGAAATTCAATGAGTTGAATAATGAAATGATTATGAGAAATGAATAAAATAAGTTTTTCCATTGATGTGTTTGGTATGGATAAAGAAACGACTCGAATGGAATGACATTGTCATCTTATATTATCATTTATCATAATTTTCCCAAAAAAAAAAAAATATATAATGTTAATATTAAAGTTGTTTTCTTATTTATGATAATTCTAAAGAATTTTTTAAAAAAGATAAACTATATTTTCGTAAATATAACTATTAAATATATTCTTGTATTGTTAAAGTCATCTCACATAACAAATAACTGGATTATGTATTCTTATAAAAAGTAATTCATACAAATATATTATTAAAATAAATCCCTAAAAACATATGTGGTGGAATATTATTTTTTTAATATGATTTAATTTATGAAAAATATATATAATATATATGCTTATATAAAATTAAAATAAGATATGTCTAAACTATACATAAAGGTATTTTGTGTGAGTTTTATTTTTAGACAAGTATTTAATATATTTAAATAAAACGTGAATTAATAAAAATATTTAATATATTTAAATAAAAAAATTAATAAAAAATAAGAATTATTTTTCATTATTTATTTTAAATTTATATTTTAAGTAATTTCATTTTATATAATTTAATCATGATATATGGTATATATTAAATATTTATTGTTTGTTGTTATTTTATAATTTATTTTTTGAGAAACTAAATGCTAAAGAAATGAGAATAAGAAAACCATGCATTAGTTATAGAATGACAAATTTCATTGAGTTGAGCTTTGCTATTCCCATTGAAATGATTATTCTATTTAAAAAAATATATCAATCATGAAATTAAAAATAAATAAAAAAATAATCATTCTATTCAGATGTCATTTCAATGCATGGCATTAATCATGCATGCCATTAGAATTTGTAAGTATGCTTGGACACAAAA